AAGATGTGAATATGCTGGCTTCCCAAAGATCACTATAGTTATTTTTAAATGTTATTATTTATTTTAGAGACAGAGGAAGAGAAAAGGATAAAGATATAGAAACATCATCGATCAGCTGCCTTATGCACGCTCTCCACTGGGGATCGAGCTGGCAACCCAGGCATGTGCCTGACTGGAAATGGAACCAGCCACCTTGGGTTCATGGGTCCACACTCAACCATGGAACCACACTGGGTGGGCCCAAAGATCACTTTAAAGTCCTTCGTTTCAAATCATCAATCTCTCTCACCCCTGAATTTCTCAGCCTAAAAATTACATCCAACCCAGAAGTCAGGTGACCTGAATTCATTTCCAGGCTTTGGTAGGCAAGTCATTAAATGTTGCCTCTGCCTCACGTCCTCAATCTATAAAATGGGCCAATACTCACCATGCCTTTCATGCAGAATGCTGTAACAATAAATGAAATCTTTAAAAGTGCCACTCAGATTCAACTAATATCTTTTGAGGTTTTTACCCTGAGCTAGACACTCTGTTACATTTTTTTTTTTATTTTTTCCCCATTTAATCCTCACAATAACTCAATTAGGTAGACATTACTAGCTATATTCTAAGATGAAAAACTGAGGGTCAGGAAAGTTTATTGACTCTTCTCAGATAGCACAATTAGCCATCGGCAAACCTAGGGCTCAAATTCTAATCTAGTGCTCTTTCTGTCTTATTATTTCTACTTCTATCTTTGTATATTCAAGATGCCCTTACAGTAATAAGATTTTCCAATAAAATGAAACTTTTGGCAACTACCAATAAACTGCATTATAGAAAGCAAAGGGGACTGCAAAGGTCCTTTGCAAATGAGTCTGAAGCAGGCTCTTCAGCACTTACAGCCTAAGGTCAAGTTGCTGTGACACTGAACTTTCTGGGAAGACAAAAATATATACATATGAATATAATTTGGAAAGGAGAAAACTCCAGACTCTTTTCTGAGAGAAACAAGGAGTGTATTAATTTAGGACTGAGGAGGAATAAAGATATATAAGAAGTAAATATTTGGCTGACAATAGAAGAATCGGAAATGAGAACACCTAAATTACTGAGATAGACGCACATTCTGAGATAGTATCTATCAGGTGAGCAAGTTCACTGCCTACTAAAAATTGCACAGACCAAGATCCCTCAGAACATATTTATAGCTGTTCTGTCACTAAGGAGCCAACATTTGATCTGTTCTTTCCAAAAGAGGTTTTAAAAAATTCAAAAGGAAAAAAGACAAGAGCCCTGTAAACAACATCTTCGGCAGCTCCTGTAAACATTGCAGCTACAGCAACTGTCAGACAGCTGGTTGCAAAGGCTGAGCAGAGTTTCAGTCTGACAAGAAAAGTCTCCAGGGTGGTGGTTGCAGAAAGGGGGAGCAGCTACTCTCTCTGTTGCTGCGTTGTCATGACCTGAAGAGGGGAAACTACAGCTGACGCACCTGTCTGAACGGAAAACAACATGGTGAGTGCATTCCCTCAGTGGGTATTTATGTCTGTCCTGTACTATGCCCAGGGAAGGCTTGTGGCCAAAGAAGGAAGTGAGACACCTAGGGTCCTAATTCTCTGAGGGCCCCCCAGCTGCTTTTCAACTCCTTTCTAGGAGAAAAAAGTTCTGTCTGTGGGAGACTAGTCCATGGGAGGTAGAGGTCCTATCTAAGGTGGCCCAAAGTCTTAATTAATGATTAATAAAACCCAAATTGGAGTCACCAGAGAATTGCAGTGCCACAATCTCTCATCCAAGATTCAGAAACCCAAAAAGCTCTGAAAATAAAGAGTTCCTTTTTTGTAACTCTTTGACAAGCAAAACCTGACCTGACTTCTTCTGTTGACAAAACCTGGTCTGGATTTATGGGAGCGTGTTACAGGGTGCTGCCCCAAGCTCCTAGGGGGATTATGAAATATTTAGTATATGCAACATAGTATCTTTTCAGAATCTGAAAAATGTTATGAATTCCTAGCTCCAAGTATTTTGGTAATGGATATGGACCTCTATTCCATGTCCTTATGCATTCTTTTTCTTTCTTCTTTTGTTCTAAATACTGATTAATCCATCTCTTCCACAGTATAATTCAACTAATCTACAGCATCTTAATAAACAGCTATATGTTCACAGAAAATGCTCAACTTGCCGGACCAGGTATGTTAACTTGCAGGGTCAACCACAAAACTTTGGAAGACCCAAACTGGGCAGGCTGAGTTTAGCACACCAAGAAAATAGCAACCCTGGCAGGGAGCTGGCAAATTAGATATATAGATAGCACCTAGGACAGCCTCACAGGGAAATCACCTAAGAAGTTTTAAAAAATACTGCTTTAAAACTGATCCACTTCACTGACACTAACAACCTTACCTCCAGCAACTACCACATTTAAAATTTTAATTTGTCAGTCTCATACATTAGATTTTTAATTTAAATCCTAGTGAGCTTTAGAAATTCAGCACCAGGGGTCCCTGCACAATTCCAAATTCTCAAAATTTTTGTAGGTGAAAAGCATACCTAAAACAAACAGAAAACATAATAATGTGTGCTATCCAGTCTCTTTTCTAGTTCTCTCTTGCTGGAATTATTGTATTTCAAACACACTATAAAAGAATGGGCACCTGACAATCACTTCTTCTGAGTGAGAGTCGATGGATAAACTCAGCTAGAAGACATGTGTCAAGAGCTGCTCAAGCTCACAGATAGGGCCTCTGGATCACAAAGTGCTCTGCTGTTTTTTAGGGATCTCATAGTGAAATATTTTCTTGTCCTACATGCCAAGCTACTTTGTTCTAAATTTAACACTCTTCAATAGAATGTGAATTACAGATATCCATACTCAAAGAACTACAACTTTTAAACTGTGCTCCAAATGTTATATCTAGTCTCCCATGTGTATTTAGGAAGCAAAGAAAACGGTTGTCTGCTTGGAATTTTAGAAATTTAGAGTAGATCAGGAATAATGTCTGACCCAGACCACTGCTGTTTAAATGCAAGTCTTTAGTCCAGAGTTCTGTCACATCTGTCAGAATGTCTGACTTTTTAATCTTGTGTACTTATAGATTTTGGGTAAAAACACACCAAAAATGCATACACATACACACAACACACACACACACACACACACGAAAGAGAGAGATTTAAAATAAAAATAAAATAGAAAAACAGTTGCTACTTCTTGACAAACGAAAAAAGAAGAAAAGACATAACTGCCTGTATTTATGAAAGAAGCAAATAGCATGAAAGGGGGTGGGGAGGAGAAAGGCTGCCCCAAAGAGGCTTGACTCAGTGCAGAGACAGTCTTTCCATGCCTTCTGCCTTCCAGAACAGGGTTCTAAGCAGAGCTGGCCGGGTTTAAAATGGAACCTACAACTAGGATATGAAGCAAAAAGATAAGAGCTGAGTCCCTGAGAACTTTGTAGAAGTGCCATGTTTACTCTGGACTGGCTACCTCTGGACTACTTTTACATGGAAGAATCAATGCTTGTGATTTTATTGTTGCTTGTTTTTTTGTCATTATGGTTATATTCAGCTCTATTATAAACCTAACTAACTGAGACTGGCAGAAGGAAAAAATAAATCAATCACAGGATCCATTACTCAGGCCCTTGCTATTTAAAGTGTGGTTCCTGGAAGAGCAGCCTGGGCATGACTTGAGGCTTGTTAGTAATGCCGAGGCTCAGGCCCCTCCCAGATCTTCTGATTCCAAATCCCCATTTTAACAAGATCTCCAGGTGATTTGGATACACAGTTTGAGAAGTTTGAGTAGCACTGACTTAGATTCAATGCCCTTTGAGAAACTAGACTAAATAGCATGGATTTGAATGACTTGCTGGGCAGTATTCTTATATTACCTAGATTTATATCCTGGGGGGGGAAAAAAGACCCTGAGAAATATGACCTGATTTTGAGATCAGATGTCAAAACATACTTTTTCAAATAACAACTTTAGTTTCAAAATGCACTAAAGAAAAACAAACGTAAGTGTTAGGACTATAGGACAATATAATCCTTAACAGCCATTTGTAAACTTCCCACCACAGGAAAACAAAGACCAGGAAAAACTTGCTGGGCTTCAGGAATCAGACCATATAAGGAATTAAAACTGTCCTAAAGACTGTTGATCGCACATCCGCATTCCATCCACGTTCTCAGCCCACCAAGACAGCCCCCGGACTACTGAGGACAAGAGCCTCCTGCCTATGACTATATATAAGGATGAACCTCCGTCATGGACCCAGTGCCCCTTGGCTTGGTGCTGTGCAGCCCTTCCTTTTGGGTATCCCATCCCCCATCACTTTCCCTAAATAAATTCAATTTTTCTTAAATCACTATCTGAGATGGCTATTTAGCCTGCCCACATACCACCATGTTAACCTTTCAGTAAGTTTATAAAAAGTAAAAACAAACAAACAAAACCTCAATTTGAGCATTTTAAAGATATAATTCATAATTAAGTAGGGTGGCCCTGACTGGTTTGGCTCAGTGGATAGAGCGTTGGCCTGCAGACGCAAGGGTCCTAGGTTCGATTCCGGTCAAGGGCATGTACCTTGGTTGCAGACACATCCCCAGTAGGGGGTGTGCAGGAGGCAGCTGATCGATGTTTCTCTCTCATCGATGTTTCTAACTCTCTATCCCTCTCCCTTCCTCTCTGTAAAAAATCAATAAAATATATTAAAAATAATAATAATAATAATTAAGTAGGGTGCTTTACACATAATAATAAAGCTTTCAGAATCTAAAAACAATAACCCTTTTGGCCACTTATTACACCAAAGCCTTCTTATTCTTATTTTTAAGTTACTAACGACTAGTTCTCTGATAAGTTTGATTATATCCCAACTGCTCAACTGAAATTTTGTTTACCTGTGCAGCATTTAAAAGTGAAAATAATATTTCCAGTATATAATTTCAGTCAGGAAAATTTCTCCTCCACTCCCCAAAAGGACTCCCAGTCAGTAATTGAAATTCTTTAAACACACAAGAAGTTTTGAATCATTTAATTTTAATTAATTTTCAAATAGTTTTTCTACAGCAGTCTTTTAGATATAATTTATATACAACAAAATACCCAGATCTTCATTTTACTACCAGATGAGTTTAACAATGATATTCACCCATGTAACCACCATCAAAACATAGGGGGTCCCATCATCCCAGAAAGTTCCCTTGAGTTGCTCTGCAGTCATTCCCCATCTCCACCTGCCACACAGAGGCAGCCACTTCTACAGCAGATCTCCTTCTTATGTGACCAGAAAATGGAGACAAAAATGATTTTTGCAGTTTAAAGCTGATAAAATAGCACTGAGAACCATAAAGCTCCATGTTGCCTGCATGTGCCCTTAATATGTTTTAATCCTCTTTCAAAAGCTTATCTACTGTGTGATAGAAAGGCATGCAAAAGACCTTGAGTTCTGTTCACTTGTGTTGATACAATTTACTAAAACATTGGCTACACTTCAGTAGATTCTTGATCTATTTCCTTTAAGTAGGTTTAAACAGGTTTTAAATGGGTTTTAAACAGGCTTCTTCTTATGGGAGACACTGATTTCAAGTAGTGCCTCCTGCCCTCTAATTTCTGATATCAAAGAGAACTAGAAAGTAGAATGATTTGCAGTTGAAAATACAATTTACTTTTTTTAAAAAACTTTTTATTATGCCAGGTTATTATTTTGAGTTGAAGTGTAGAGTTAATAAGCTAAACATTGTTCCTTCTGTCCTAATCCAACCCATTCAATTAAATATTTGTTCACAGAGAGGCCTGTGAGCATTATCCTCCTTCTTAGAATCAATTTACTACATCAATTTTTCAATAGTTCGCTTTTCCCAATTTTAGGAGGTAGCCAATAATCATTTACATAGTCCTTACCAGAAAATTATGAGAAAGGCACTTTTAGGTTTTGGTACACTGAAAATGTAAGATACCACCAATATTAACTGTTTTACTTACAAACCCAAGCAACCAGTCCTTAAGTGTCATATCAAAACAAAATGTATGTGACCATGCACAGTGCAATTCCCAGTTACTCTTAACCAACTCATCCATATCCTAGAGACTCATTTTGTCTCTAATTACAACCAGTGGTGCCCCAGCATTTGAGGGTCACAGCTCTGTCCTGGGGTGCATCGCTGCATACTTGGGTGCCAGCTCCTTGATCAGATTTACGTAGTCAGCTTTCTCCGCGCAGGCCCTGCATTCTTCTCCCCAGCTGTACAGGATCTGTTTCAGCTCTGCCACTCGCATCTTCCACAGGTCCACTGATGCTAAGTCTAATTTCTTTTCTAAATGACAAAAAGGAAAAACACAAATTTTAAAAAAACAACTCTGAAACGTTTAGAAAAGCAAAGGGTGTTACTTAACCTGGGTGCTGGCAACCTTATGATCCAAAGTGGAGAACAGTTCCAATTTCTATGGAAATCAAGAACCTAAGGAAAGTGTATACAGTGGGGCCTTGACTTATGAGTGTCCCGACTAACGAGTTTTTTGAGATACCAGCTGTCTCTCAGCCGATTTTTTGCATTGAGTTGACAGAGTAATTTGAGTTAACGAGCTCCTTAACGAGCTTGGTCTCGGAACAAATTAAACTTGTAAGTCAGGGCCCCACTGTATAAAGAGAGCTATTGGGATAAGTTGTTCTATCAGACTTTCTCTCCATGGAATTATGCTTGCTTCAAAACGGAGGCTTCAAAAGTGTAGCTTTGCAATACCTGCTACTGCCCCATGCCTTCTCAAGATCAACAATCCTAAAATAACAGCAGCACATTCTAATTGCCACTCCTAAGGTAAAAGAAGGGAACCAATAAAAAGGGATGCCTTTGGGACAAACTGTGTGTGTCCAGCTGAAATCCATAGGTCATAAATAACTAGAAAGTTATGGCTCACTTTCTATGTAAAGCAGGGGTCCTCAAACTACGGCCCATGGGCCATATGCAAATACAAATATTGTATTTGTTCCCATTTTGTTTTTTTTCTTCAATATAAGATATGTGCATGTGCATAGGAATTTGTTCATAGTTTTTTTTTTTAACTATAGTCTGGCCCTCCAACTGTCTGAGGGACAGTGAACTGGCCCCCTGTTTAAAAAGTTTGAGGACCCCTGATGTAAAGACTAGTGGCCTGGTGCACGGAATTCATGCAGAGGGGCGGGGGTTGGGAGGTTCCCTCAGCCCAGCCTGCACCCTCTCCAATTGGGGACCCCTAGGAGGATGTCTGACCACAATCTGGGATCACTGGCTTGCCTGCCTGCCTGCCTGCCTGATCGTCCCCAACTGCCTCTGCCTGCCTGATCACCCCTAACTGCCCTCTCCTGCCAGCCTGATCTTGCCCCCAACTGCCCTCCCCTGCTATCCTGATCACCCCTAACTGCCTCTGCCTCAGCCCCCACCACCATGGCTTTGTCTGGAAGGAAGTTGGATGTCTGCAAGATGGCCAGTTGACCCGGTTTAATTAGCATATTACCCTTTTATTCGTATAGATAGATTATATAGGCTAGGATTGCTTAAATGGAGGAGAAAAGCCTTTTTCAGCAGGAGGAGATGCTCTTCACAGACAAAAACACATAATCCCTATATCTGGACTGATAGAGAGCCATATGCACTATACTGCCAAAGCGGTCATTAAAATATTGAACCACTTTCTTACACCTTACACCAAACAGCTGTTGCCCTTAAAACCCCTCCTGAGCCCCCACCTTAGTTTCTGCCTTTGCAGTTCACACAGATTAGACTCTGATTGATTGGTTTCTATGCCAGTCAGCGTCAAAAGCTCTGCCTCCTAGGCAGCCATTGGCTCCTGGCACTTCACCCAGATTTGATTCTGATTGGTCAGTTTCTATGCCAGTCAGCATCTCCGGGCCTATCTCTGGGCCTGATAAAAGAGGCAAGGGCTGATCAACAGCTGCCACAGAGGCTGTGGATCAGACCCTGCCTCTCTCTCTGCAGGCCTCTCTATGGGCCTGATCCACAGCCCCCTTGGCAGTCAGTGCTGCGTCTCTGCACCACACCGGCTGCAAACACTGACTTCTAGTGTTCGGTTGAGCCTTGGTTGTTGCGATGTTATGGACCCTGGCTCTTTATATATATATATAGATATGTCTTCAGTAAAACAGACATACATTTACAAAGCACTATCAAGTCTTTAAATACAAATATAAAGAAATCCAAACACATGAATATATTTAGGAGCATTTTTATTGATCCTTATTTGATTTTGCTTAACCTCGCCTGATCCCCCACCCCTACTGGAATTACTAATTTATCACAGCATTCACTTACAGTCCTTTGGGGGATACCCACTTCTCTAATGGTGGTGCTTCAGTGCCAGCCAATCTGGCTTCTAACATTCTTGCCAATAACATTTGTCACCAATATCTAACTCCTTTAGCAAGACTACCATTTCCCTATTTACAGATTGTCTGCAGAGAATGTTAAGACTCAACTACTTCTCTATTGTCAAGCCCCAAAACAGAAAAATAAATTAAGCTTATCTATAATATACTTATGATTATAATTTCCCTATCAGAAAGGAGTAATTTTCCTTAAATTTATACAATGTTTTAAGTCAATTATATCTCAATAAACCTGGAAAAAAATAATAAAAGTTGGATTTTAAAGCCTTGTTTATTTGGAGGGTCAGATACAGATGAAAGGGTCCACCACCCTTAAATTTTTATAGTGATCCCCATCCTTTTAAGATACAGAACAAGCAAAAATATTTTTTCAGGTCAAAAACTAAATGACACCTTCCTAATTGAAAACATATTCAACTCTACACTTACCTTGATCATAATTTCATGGATGACTTGAAGAATGCCTTTATAAGTAGAAGCATTTATAGCCCAAATTATTAATATCCCACAGCTCAAAGGCCCCTGTTCAATCTCAGTTTTCTTGCCAACAATAAGTAGGGAACAAAAAATAAGGACTAGTGGTCTATTCAAGATAAATGGTTGATGGAGAAATATACTTTCTTTCAAGTGTCAGTAGTTTCCTTGAGCTTTTCTAAAGAACTTCGAATCTGGTATTAATTTTAAAAATGGGAAACCACTATGACACCCCAAAACTACAAGAAAAAGGTTGATACTCATTTCTTAATAATATATGATTAATTTTTCTATTATTCAAGGAACCCAGTAACATCTCTGGCACATAATAGAAGATATTCAAAATAAAGTTGTTGAATTAAAGAATCAGCATAGGTTTGTCCCTTTCAAGACTACTGTTTATATGGACTCAGTGATTCCTGCCTCTACTTCATTACTTGAAAGCCAATGAAAAAGGATGCCTGTCCCATAATCACTATCCTGGAATTTAGGGCCTGCCCTTGGCAAATTGAGAGACCTGGGGATTTTTGGTACCTTCCAACCTTAAACCTATTTAAAGCCAGCTATGTAGTTATGGTCCATAGGCATATTACACAGCTATGTTAGAAAATAATTCAGATCTGGGTGCTAATTAGGTAGTTTACAATACTACACTGGTATGTAACATAAAACAATGACTTGAACAAAAGAAACGGGTCTCTACTGGTGGAATTTCAGGTATTAAGGCTAGGCTAAGGGAGGAATCCCCCCAGCATTTATCATACCTACTCAATCTACCCAAAAAGGCTGGCCCAGATAGAAAGTTTCAGTATAGGAATAGATTTATCTATGTGAACTGTAGAAGGCCAATGATAATGATTTAAATAAGACATCTTTCTTTCCTCACTGTTTATTTTATGCACCCTCAATAAGGACATTTCATCGGCAAAACCTGATTTGAAGTGAATAACCTATTTCCCAAAATGTAAAGCTGGCAGAATAATAGGCAAATCTAAGGAAAACGATACACACACATTTAAAACTTCAAAGTCTTTACATCACCTTTGAATATTTAAATAGATGCAACTTTCCTTAATAGGTTGCCAAGAGCTAAATTACCATGAGTAGTTATTCCCTCAATATTTTGAATTTTTCCTTGACATACACAGTTGACACTGCCTTGATGATATAAGAGCTTAAACTTTCCTATTTGGAATGACACTGATTTACCTACACTGATTATACCAGTATTTATTTCTCTTACTCCCCCCAAAAGATCAAGAGACATTAAGTATCATTCAGCAGCCTAACAACATAATGACAAATGAAGAATTTCTTTCCTTCTAACACTGACTTTTTAGAAAAAATAGCCTGTTTTGAGAATTGGCAATACTTCACACGTCCTAGGGAAAAAAAGACTTGACTCTATTATACCATATTTCAGCTCACAGATCTGACTGTCCATCTTCTTGAGCTTCTCACAAATCTTCATTGCAGGCATGTGCACACTCATTGGACGAGTGACTTCACTTAGGATCTTTGTGGCTGCATCTTTTGTTGCTCCTAGATAATAGCACTGATGGAGAATGAAGAGAATTTAGTGGCCCAAAGCAAGTGATACGGTTTTGAAAAGTAAGAAAGAGGTTAACCTAGTTTTCATGGCCCCACTATTAAATTTCAAGCCCTGCTAAGACACCAGAAAACAAATGACCGCATTGCCATGATCATCCTAATTAGAAGTGCCCGACAGTTCACATGATGCTCCAAGGCTTGCTGAGTGTTTTCCTTGTGCTAGGCGCTGCTCTCAGGGCTTTATAGGTATTGACTTATTTAATTATCACAACAATCCTGTGAAGTAAGTACTATTATTATCCCCATTTTATACCCAAGCCAACTGAAGGCCACTCAGCTAGCAAGTTGAATAGATTAATTTTTTAAGATCTAGCATTTTGGCTCTACAGTCAGTGCACTTTTTCATGTTATACTGCCTTTCAAGCTACCCAACTTAAGCATTTCACATTTAAAAATATAAAACTTAATGGTACAAATAAATGCTGAGAGTTTTAAATGTGTCAGAGGTGAGCTGTCAGCAATGCAACTTTAACTGGAAATTTAAAATGACAATTTTAGGCAAAAGGAATTGCCCTAAGATTGTTTTTAGTGATGTAAACCAGTTTATTTAAAAAGTCATTTGTGTATACCCAGGAAACACTATGAAAACACCAGTACAAGAAAATTTCATTGGTTATATATAAATAATAATATAAAATATTTGGAAAGGTTGAACTCATTGTCTCGGTAAGAAGTAGAAAGTCTGTCCATTCTTAACTCATGACAGTGAATTCTCAATTAGACACTCAATTGTATAATTTTATTAAGAAAACTAGAGGCCAGTGCTTACTTTGGCAGCACATATACTAAGAAAACTAGAGGCCCGGTGCACAAAAATTTGTGCACTTGGGGAGAAGGGGGAGTCCCTCAGCCCTGCCTGTGCCCTCTTGCAGTGTGGGACCCCTCAGGAAATAACGACCTGCTGGCTTAGGCCTGCTCCCGGGTGGCAGAGGGCAGGCCCAATCCCTAGGTGCAGCCCCTGGTCGGGCTCAGAGCAGGGTCGATGGGGAGGTTGTGGCGCCACCCCGTCACGCACAGAGCAGGGCCCATCAGGGGGGTGGGGCTCCATACCCTGTCATGCACAGAGCAGGGCCAATCAGGGGGTTGGGGCACCGCACCCTGTCATGCACAGAGCAGGGCCGATCAGGGGGTTGAGGCCCCGCACCCTGTCACACACAGAGCCACAGGGCGATCAGGGGGTTTGGGCGCTGACCCCTGTCACGCTGATCCCGGTGCTGGGAGGCATATTACCCTTTTACTATATAGGATAGAGGCCTGGTGCATGGGTGGGGCTGGCTGGTTTGCCCTGAAGGGTGTCCTGGATCAGGGTGGGGGTCCCCACTGGGGTGCCTGGCCAGCCTGGATGAGGGGATGATGGCTGTTTGCAGCTGGTCACACACCCTTCAGGGTGGGGGTCCCCACTGGGGTGCCTGGCCAGTCTGGGTGAGGGGCTGAGGGCTGTTTTCAGGCTGACTGAAGCTCCCAACTGCAACTTTTTTTCTTTCTTTTTTTTTATTCTGAGCCAGCTTTAGCTCTGGCTCCAGCTCTGAGGCCTCTGCTGCTAAAAGAAGGTATCTGGTTTGTTTGTGTTCTATAGTCGAAACAATGTATAACTCCAGCTCTGAGATCCCGGGCTCGCTGAAAGCAGGTTTCTGGGGTTTTGTTTAGCTTCTATATTTGTTACAATGTTTCTTAAACTGCAAGCTCAGAGGCCAGCAAGGCAGGCAGGGAATGTTGGAGTCCTCTGTCACTGAAGCAAGCAAGCCTCATGTTAGTTTCAAGCTGCCTGGCTGCCGGCCGCCATCTTGGCTGGCAGTTAATTTGCATATCTCGCTGATTAGCGAATGGGAAGGGTAGCGGTCGTACGCCAATTACCATGTTTCTCTTTTATTAGATAGGATATGGGCTTGGTTGTCTGTGGTTTATTCCAAAAGCAAAATAAAATCAGATGTATTCTAGATGAAAATTCATGACTGCATTTCACTGAATGATCAATTTCTGCTTGCTCTCTACAGTGAACATGCCTGAGGCCAGCATCTAAGCAGGAGGACATCAAGTCCAAGATAAGAAGTGAAAGTATCAGCTTTCCCTCAAGTACAAGGTGAAAATTTACCATACCAGGCGGTTTTCTTTTCCTTTGACGCCCAAGCAAAAGCTGACCAATTCTTTTTCTATGGTGTCCAGAGAAAAGTTAATTCCTCTGGCTATCAAGGAATTGTAGAATCGGTTCAAGAATTCTTCACATACTAGAAAGAACAAAGAAATTATGTATTTATATACAAAATAAACACTACCATAGATATGTCCTACTCACCAAATAAAAATGTAAGTACGATTTAATGCATTGTGACAATGAATTAACATTTTAGGAAGAATGATTTGGGCCTGTAGCCATTAGCTTAGGATTGGGCTTTGAGTAATATAAGTTTATAGAATCAATCAATCCATCTTCAGAACCAAGTTCTACCTGCAATTAGAATATTCCTACAAATTTTGGCTGACCCTAAAAGAAAATACAGCTTTTTATAGGATATAATGCTTTGGACATCTTAGTTTTAGGTATGGGGGTTACATTCAATATTACTTTGTATTAGTTTCAGGTGTACAGCATAGTGGTTAGATAATCATATACTTTAGCAGTGGTCCCCCCTGGAATCATACATAGTTATTACAATATTATTAACTAGATTTCCTATGCTATGTTTTATATCCCCATGACTATTTTTAACCACCAACTTGCACTTCTTAATCCCTTCACCTTTTCACCCAGGGCCTCAACCCTCTCCCAGCTGGAAGCCACTAGTCTGTTCTCTGTATCTATGAATCTGTTGCTATTTTGTTTGTTCATTTATTTTCTCTTTAAATTCAACATGTAAGTGAAATCACATGGTATTTGTCTTTTTCTAACTTATTTCATTTAGCATAATACCCTCTAAATCCATCCATGCTATCGCAAATAGGAAGATATCATCCATTTTTATGGCCAAGTATTATTCCATTTTATATATGTACTACCACTTTTTTATTCACTCATCTATTGAAGGGCACTTGGGTTGGTTCCATATCTTGGCTATTATAAATAATGCTGCAATAAACATAAGGGGGCATATATTCTTTCAAATTAGTGTTTTTTATTTCTTTGGATATATATACCTAGAAGTGGAATCACTGGATCCATTTTTAATCTTTCGAGGAAACTCCATACTGTTTTCCATAGTGGCTGTACAAATCTGCATTCTCACCAACAGCATAAGGGTTACCTTTTCTCCATATCCTCACCAACACTTATTGTTTGTTGATTGATTGATGATAGCCATTCTGACAGGTGTAAGGTGATATCTCATTGTGGGATATTTAGCATTTCTCTGCTTAGTAATGTTGAGCATCTTTGCATATGTCTATTAGCCATCTCTATGTTCTCTTTGGAGAAGTGTCTCTACAGGTCCTCTGCCCATTTTTTGATTGGGCTATTTGCTTTTCTGGTGTTGAGCTGTATGAGTTCTTTCTGAATATTGAATATTAACCCCTTTGCAGATGTATAATTGGTAAATTTGTTCTCCTTTCAGTAGGTTGTCTTTTCCTTTTGTTGATGATTTCTTTGACTGTGCAAAACTTTTTAGTTTGATGTAGTCCCATTTGCTTATTTTTTCATTTGTTGCCCTTGCCTGAGGATATATAAAAAAAAATATTGCTAAGAGAGGTGTCAGAGATTTTACTGCCTATGTTTTCTTCTAGGAGTTTTATGCTTTTGAGTTTTTACATTTAAGTCTTTAACCCATTTTTACTTTACTCTTGTATATGGTGTAAGAAGGTGATCTAGTTTCATTTATTTGCACATATCTGTCCAATTTTCCCAATACCACTATTGAAGAAACAGTTTTTATCCCATTGTATGTTCTTGACTCCTTTGTCAAATAGTAGTTGATCGAACAGGCATGGATTTATTTCTGGACTCTCTTTTCTGTTCCATTGATCTGTATGTCTGTTTTTTGCCAATACCATGCTGCTTTGACTACTGTGACCTTGTAGTATAGTTTGATATCAGGTAGTGTGATTCCTCCAACTTTGTTCTTCTTTCTCGAGACTTCTGTAGTTATTTGGGGTCTTTGTGGCTCCATATACATTTTTGGACTATTTGTTCTAGTTCTGTAAAATATGTCATTGGTATTTTGATAGGAATTGCGTTGAACCTATAGATTGCTTTAGGTAGCATGGACATTTAACGATGTTAATTCTTCCTGTCCATGAGCACTGTGTCTGCTTCCATTTATTTGTATCCCCTTCAATTCCTTTCCTCAAAGTCTTATAATTCTTCAAGTATAGGTTTTTTACTTTCTTGGATAAATTTATTTCTAGGTATTTATTTCTTTTGATGAAATTGTAAATGGGATTTTCTTAGTCTCCCTTTCTGATAATTCATTATTGGCGAATAAAAATGCAACTGATTTCTAAATATTTATTTTTGTATCTGCTACTTTACTGAATTCTTTTATCAGTTTTAGTAGTTTTTTGGTGGAATCTTTAGGGCTCTCTAAATACAGTATTATGTCATCTGTAAATAATAACAGTTTTACTTCTTTCTTTCCAATTTGGATGCCTTTTATTTCTTCTTCTTGTGTGATTGCTCTGGCAAGGACTTCCAGTTCTATGTTGAAGAAGAATGGTGAAAGTGATCATCCCTGCCTTGTTCCTGATCACAGGAGAAATGCTTTTAGTTTTTACCCATTGAATATGATGTTAGCTGTGGGTTTGTCATTTATGTTTGTCATAATGTCATTTATGTTAATATATGTTCCCTCTATTCCCACTTTGCTGAAAGTTGTTTGTTTTTATCATAAATGGGTACTAGATTTTTGTCAAAAGCTTCTTCTGTATCTGTTGATATCGTTATAAGATTTTTACCCTTCATTTTATTTATGTTATGTATCACATTAATTGATTTGCTGATGTTGTAACAACCCTGCATCCACAAAATAATCCCCAGTTGATCATGGTGTATGACCTATAATGTATTGCTAGGTTTTTTTGCTAATATTTTGTTGAGGATTTTTACTTCTATGTTCATCAGGAATATTGACCTACAATTTTCTTGCTTTGTAGTGTCTTTATCTGGTTTTAGAATTAAGATAATGTTGGCTTCATAAAATGAATTTGGGAGTTTTCTCTCTACTTGAATTGTTTAGAATAGTTTGAGAAGGGCAGGTGTTACTTCATCTTTGAGTATTTGGTAAAATTCACCTGTGAAGCCATTTGGTCCAGCCCTTCTGTTTGTTGGGAGTTTCTGATTACTGCTACAATTTTATTAGTTGCAATCAGTCTGTTCAGACCTTTGTTTTCTTCTTGATTTAGTTTTGAAATGTTATATGTTTTTAGGAATTTGTCTATTTCTTCCAGATTGTCCAATTTGTTAGTATATATTCACAATACTTTGTTATAATCCTTTGTATTTCTGTGGTGTCAGTTGTTACTTCCCTGCTTTCATTTCTGATTTTATTTATTTGGGTCCTCTCTCTTTTTTTCTTGATGAGTCTGGTTAAGGTTTGTCACTCTTATCTTTTCAAAAAACCAGTTCTTGGTTTCATTGATATTTTCAATTGTGTGGGATTTTTTAGACCCTGTTTTATTTATTTCTGCTCTACCATTATTCTTCCCTTCCTTCTACTCACTTTGGGCTTTGTTTGTTGTTCTTTTCTTAGTTCCCTTAAATGCAAGGTTAGATTGTATGAAATTTTTCTTGTTTCTTGAGGTAGGCCTGTAATGCTATGAATTTTCCTCTTGGGACTGCCTTCACTGTGTTCTGTAGATTTTAAGTTGTTGATTCTTATTTTCATTTGTTTCAAGGTATCTTTTGATTTTTCCCTTGATCTCATTGTTAGTAACTTATTATTCAGCCTCAATGTCTTTATGTGTTTTTCGGATTTTTTTCTTGTGACTGATTTCTAGTCTCATACCATTATGGCCAGAGAAAATGCTAGATATAATTTCAATCTTGTTACATTTATTTAGACTTGTTTTGTGTCCTAACATGTGTTCTAGCTTAGAAATATTCCATGTGTACTTGAAAAAAATGTATATTCTTCTGCTTTGGGGTGAAATGCTCTGAAGATATCAATTAAATCCATCTGATCTAGTGTGTCATTTAAGGTGGATGTTTCCTTCTTGATTTTCTATCTAGAAGATCTATCCACTGATGTCAATAGAAGTCTCCTACTATAGTACTCTAAGGGACATCTTAGTTTAAAGCACAGAAAAAACCTGAATGTGTATCTTGGATAAAGCCCCTTGGTAATCTGCATAAGTCTGTATGTTCCATTATTATGAGCCTGAGGTGAAACCCCAATTTGAACAATTATATTTGACTAGAGGCCCAGTGCACAAAATTCATGCACAGGTAGGGTCCCTAGGCCTGGCCAGTGATCAGGGCTGATCAGAGCCTTCCTTCCCCTGGCTGCCAGCTGCTGGCTGTGGGCTGCTGGCCAGGGCCTTCCTTCATCCCACACCACCCCCTTGTGGTCAGTGCATGTCATAGCGAGCTGTTGAACTCCCAGTTGGTCAAACTCTGGAGGGGACAATTTGCATATTAGCCTTTTATTATATAGGACTAGAGACCTGATGCACAAAATTTGTGCAAGGGGCTTGGCCCTCACAGCCCGGCTGCCTTGGCCCTCTGCCTTGGCCTCGCAGCCTCAGCTTCGTCCAGAAGGTTATCCTGCTGTTTGGTCTAATTAGCATATAATTCCTTTATTATATAGGATTATAGTATCAAGAGCCAGTGAATAGATGGCGCTCAAAAGAGGCACAGGCAACAACACCCATAGCCAACATGTGTTGGGCATTTACGGTGCTGGCACTGTTCTAAGCACTTTACATATACTAATTCATTTAAGTCCCAGAACAAAGCTATGATGTAGATACGTTACTATCCTCATTTTACAGATGAAAAAAAAAAAAACTGAGCCAAAGAGAGGCCAATTAACTTGCCCAATTAGTGGTAGAGAAGGAATTAGACCCCAGGTGGTGTGACTCGGCCCACAATTATCCATTGGGTTACCCTATAATAGGAGGAGGATGCTTTCCCATGTCACTTTCTAAAATGGGGCATGCAAGTCATGAAGGAAACAGAGGCAAGAAGCCTATGCTGGAAATCAATAGCTCTAATATTAGAAAGAGACTTCCATGGAAATATAGTAAGGAAAATTAGAGAGGATATAGACCCTTGGTTCTCTCCATCCTTCCTCTTAACTCA